AATTGAGTTGTGTAGAAAAGACATTTGCCTCACTGAAAATTCATCTAATATTAGGACAAAAGTGGAGAAGTGTTGGCTTTTCCCAGTTTTATTCAGTTTGAATGCAGTGTCAGGTAGATTTCAGAGATCGTTACAGGAAATAATGGTTTTACAGTGATCTCTTTATGCTAGATCTTAAACACTGCATTTTTACTATTTTTTTACAAAGTCTGAATCATTAAGTAATCTATCCAAATCAGAACTCTCTGCTGAATATTTGCCTAAGTGAAAAGAAATTTCTGGATTCTTGTCCTAGTGTGGTGTACTGTTTTTGTTAGCAGATTTGCTGCTGGAGAAAGCAGCAGTTAGGATAAAAGGGGTTATATAAGAGAGCTCCTGCTGAGAGTCTGTGGCACTCTACAGGGTGATACCAAACACTGTATTCCCCAGGGCAGGTACAATAATTAGCCACAGGACTGGTGCTCAGTCTGAGGGATTAATTAGAACTGGAGGTGGTGTTGGAGAGAGGCAGAGCAGCCATAAAGAGTGTCAGGATCACTCTGGCCTGAAGCCTGTGTGATTTGATGTGAAATAGCAGCAGCTGGCTGTAACCTTAGGAAGTGCAAGAGAACAGCAGGTGGTAATTCCTGTCTCATTTACCATGTCTTCACAGGAACATGCAAGCTTGTGCAGCTTGGGTTTATTGGCAGGTCAGGAGGAAAATCCTAGAGAGGACTGTGACATTTACTATAGTGAGCAAATGCAGCAGTGAGACTGGAGTGTAGGCAGCACAGTGTAAAACCAGTAACACTGTTGCTTAGTGCTGCCATACCTGCCTCTGACAAGGTCGTGGCAACCTTAGAATATGCACCTCATGTGGACCAATGGACAAAGCTGAGAGTACTGAGAAAAATCTAGGACAGCTAGTGGGAATTGCATCCTTCAAGGCTGTGCTGAATGTAACAGGACAACTGTTTCATCCAAGTGAAAAAAATCAGACAGAGGGGGGGGAATGATACGATGTTCTGGCATCCCTTGGTTTTCTCAGTAGCCATTGTATGGGGCAAATAGGCTTTACCCACGCTTCCAGGTGGGTAATGTTGTTCCATGGCTGTTGGCCTCCATCAGGCATCATGTTTTGCTTGGCATTTGGGCAAAAATGGCAGTGAGGCATGCGGCAACTGTGCTAATTTAGAAATTGTAACCAGCTAGCATTTCAGGGTGAGCTTGAGTAGCTGTCAGCAGAGGAATTTAGTAGACCAGTGGTCGCTGTTGATGACTGTAGTGTTTTGTATTCTGTTAGGGCCTCCCAGGGTGTAGAACAAGAACCCTTCCTATGTGCAGTTCAAGAAGCAAACCAAATAAAGAGAAAATTGAGTAACTTTGAATCTGTCATTCAGAACAGCTTTCGATAGGGAAAAAATAAAACAGATCCAGGGAATATTTGTGGTTATATTTATAGCACAGTGACAGGAAAGGAACTCATTTTGTGAGAAGGATAGCTCTTTTTATGCCTTTTTAGATGCTCATTGTGTGCCAACATTATCTTTCATGGATGCCAGAGGGTGCAATGCCTTCTAAAGCCTCTCACACATGCAAAAACTATGGACCTATTGTAGTGTCTTTGCTGGGTTCCATTTAGTTTTCCCATGTTTCTGTCTCTCTCCAAAGATTTGTGTTCCTCATGGGGAGATGATCCAGGTCCAAACTGGCATTGCAGGTATCTGACTGTTAGGTCTAAGATTATGACCACTTTGGGCAAAGGAAGGAAAGCTTGGGAAGAAGCTGGAAGAAGTAACTAAGCTGAAGATGGAGGAATGGGACTGACCCTTTTCTCCTATGTTGTTTATGTAGGCAGAAAACTGCAGCACTGACAGCTAATCTTGAGCTTGCCTGTGCAGTGTTGGGAAGCTTTGGGAGTGCTGGGGCTGGACTGGGAAGTGCTGAATGTAAATGGTTCTGTGTACAGCTACACAAATCTTTCAAGTCTTCATTTCTTCTCAAGGAAAAAGAAAATCCTTTATGACAAACCACTATATTTACTGAATAAGCACCTTTCTTTATTAATTCTCAGTTCTCCTTTATGTTGAAGATGAAATAAGTCCAAATTAATATGAGTTTAAAACCTCAAATTGTGAATATGTTAATTTAGTGGTAACTGAAACTTCCTGTCCTATAATTCTAAAGGCTGATGAGTAAAAGTGAAATTGTTTAAAAATGTTCTGTTTATTAATTTTTTCAATAAATGTCATTTATTGCTTGCTATTCAGATATTACTTCTTATGTAGGTTTCTTGTTTGTTCTCGTTTCCATTACATGGGTGTTGTAGTTTTATCTGGAGGAGAAATGGATCATGTGCACAGCAGGGCTAATGAGTCACAGATGTAAAGATTCTGACACATTACTATCTAATAACTTCTTTAATTTATATTCCATAATAAGATAAATGCAAACTTGATACATCTGTTTCCTAAATGATGTATCATTCCAGTCTTATCAGTGTCTTGGGAGTCAGTCCCTTTATATGTTGTGAGTTTTAGCCTTTTTTGGTTTTGTTTTCTGTTTATTTGTTTCTAAAGAGGAGGTTTCAGGTCACTGAGCAATGCAGTTAGCCACACTGCAGTTCATCCCAATGAAGTGAGAAAGCTGAATTTAGCCACTGGCTTTATGGGATCAACTTGCAGGGTCTCAGCTTCATATCATGGATATATAGCAGGAATAAAGACGCTAAATGCAACTCCAAGGTGCTAGTGAAGAACATGTACACATCAAAAAGTTACTCTCCCTTTTCTGTAAAGACTGGTGGGGTCTTTGCGATCCACAGGCTCTCTGGTGTGATGAACAGAGCAAATATTTGCCACATTAAAAGAATCTGCTGCAGCTGAGAGACCTGGCAGGCTGCCCTGGCCTGTTGGTGCTCCCCAGCAGGCCAGCTGGGCTGCAGGGAGCTCGTGTGCTACAGCAGCATGGGCAGCACCAGCAGAGCCTCCACGCCACACTCCTCAGAAAGGCCCTTGCCCAGGCACAGCCTTCCCTTTTAGGAGGTGCTAAGCTGGCATGGTGCAGCTGTTTGCTCCAGGAGGAGCCCCCAGAGGGGCTGTGCTACCAACTCTACCTCATAAAAGTGTTCTGTGGCCATACAGAGGGCTTAGAGCTCCCTGGCTGTGTTTTATTTAATGTTCCTCAGACTAACATCTCTGCCACTGAACAAGCCTCTGCTTCTGGCAGTGTGCTGTGCTAAAGGCATGGAGAGGACTTAGGGATTTCCTCCTGTTTAGGAATTCACTGCTCAACTGCATAAGGTTTTGGCTTTATCAGAAGATTTAATTCACACCCTACAAGGTAGCTCAAGAAAGGTTTTGAACTGAGAGCAAAATTCAGCCCCTTATATTGTGACAGCAGGCCACAATCACCACTCTCCTCCCTTTTTGTGCCAGTACAGTACAAGTTCTGCACATCTTGGTAGAATATGAGAAACCATATGTGGCATACAGCAATTGAGGGGCAAAAATGGATGTGAAAATACTGCTATGTATGTCTCAAAAACCTTGACCATGGCCATTATGGACTACCCAAGATCTAGCAGTAGATTTATGTTCAGTGTTTATGGTTGTGTATGTGCTGCCAGTTTATGTGCTGCATGTCATATGCTAAACAGAATATGAGGAGCAGGATATTAATTATGCAGAGCACTTCAGAGTATGCTGTCACTGCTGTCAGCTTCTGCAGCAATCCAGAGTCACGGCTTTCTACATGGATCTCTTGAAGTGCTGTAGTACATTTCAATCAAAAATGGCTCGATCGTCTGCTGGCTGATAGTCCTAACAATTTTCAAATGATCATGACAATTTATTGTAATTTTAAGAAAAGACACCTTCATGGGATTGCTCCTTCTAAAATCTCGATATTCGTTGTGAAGCATCAACCTGCATCTGCAGTGCAGTGCAGACCTAACTCTGTTTCCCATATGACAGAGGCCGTTTCCTGTCCATCGGCAGTGCGGGGTGTACTAAATGCAGTGTTTGTTCTGTTTGTCCATTAGTAAATTGTCTCTGTGATGTTTGTGTCGTGCTGTTCTCGTACCATGTTGTGCTGTGTCCCTAGGGTCTGCCAGGCTTCCCCACAGTTGCTGCTCTGCACAGTAATCAGATCCTCACCGTCAAGGTTTGTGGCTGACATGTACCCTGTTCGGTCAGGTCTCTCTGTATCAGCATAACAGTGCACATGAAAAATTGTTTTTTAGCATGGAATAGTGAATTCTCATGGTGGATCTAAGGTAAACCTCACTGTCTTTGCATTGATCTAAGTACTCCTGATTCAGAGTGTGGAATCAAATCTATAACTGTGTACCTCTGGAAATGCCTACATTCCCCATAGTCTTGGTCAGTATTTTATTTTCAGATGAGTTTTTTGTGTTCTGCTTCCCTGAAGCATATATGAGTGTGAAAAATGACACTGAGCTCTATACTGGTTACGTGTAGAGTCAGATATTTGTGTTAGATATCAGAGATCTAATCTGTACGTCCGTATTTTTTCCAAGTGGATTTGCAAATTAAGCAGGAAGCAATCTGGTCAAGCTGGAACTTCAGACATTATAAAAATAACACCGTTCTTCATGGCACACTATGCTGGTTACAAAATCTGACTGAAAGTTGAACTGGTGCTTTGTCTCTAGAAACTTTGCTGAAATAACAACATATAAAAATACTGATTTTTAGAGCCTGGGTAATGAAAAAGCTCATGCACATGCAGAATTCTCATGCAAAATCTGGGGAGAAAACAGTTACTCATTTAAGTCATTGTATATGATTTAAATCATAGCAGTATATCCTGTGCAATAGAGGTAATCTTTTTCCAAAAGAAAATGCACAGTTTCTTTCAGGCAGAAGCACCAGTTCGTATTATATTAATTATTACAAATCTAATGAATATGTCTTTATTTCTTTCTCGGGCCTTCTGATGTCTATTCTTCAATTCTCTCATCTCTGATCTTCAACCTTTGACCTCACCTGCCTGATCAGATGGTGTTTCCTAAAATCAATCATGGGTTTCTCTCTGCTGATCAGCAGCTCATTAAACGCCGCCTCATTAAGGTAGTGCTTCACCTCACTGGAATCTGGTTCTTCTTTACATTCAGTTTACTCTTTGCTGTACCTTTTTGTCAGATGCCTTCTTATGGCAGGTTGTTCACTTGAAAATGCTTTGAAATGAAGCAACTGTTAATGGTATTAACAGTTAAAAGACCATGGGTGGCTTTGCTAGGTGATCCACGTTTCAGATGCAAGCAGCTTTTGCCAGGGGTTTGCAGTGATGTGCTGGAAATAACTAAAGCACCATTTTGGGGTGTCTTTTCTTTTTTAAAGGGGAAGGTAATATGTTTTGACAACTCTCTTGAGAATTGACTTTTACAAATTATAGGTAAAAATGAAGAGAGTTAGCTAATTGTCACTATAAAACAGCCTCCCAAAACAGATGGAAAATTATGTACAACTTCATGAAGAAGCAGTTATTTTCCATGCTCACTTTTGAAATCTATCCATGTATCATTCATGGGCTTGGAAAATTGCTGTGCAAATCTGTATATTTTAAGACGAGACTTTTTTTTTCGCCTCAGATTTGCTATGATTATGCAAATCATGAAGCAAATAGATGCTTATCAAAAGCAGTCGCTGGCTCTGGAGAACTAGATGAGTGAAATATTTCAAGACCATCCCAAATTTTGGCGTATGTGCTGTGGTAAAACAAGCAGTTTGGAATCTGAACCTTCTGCTCTCTGGCTGATACAAACTGTTGGTCTTCAAGGCAAAGTGCTGCTTGTGCCATAAGCAATGAAAGAGCCACTGTCCAGTTCATGGCAGCTTCTTCCAGCCTGTCTTGCACTCTTCATGGGTGAATTGATGTGTTTTTATGTGGTTGATGCCTCTAAAGCAAATTTGTGATGAGTTTTTTATTGGCTTAGGGGGACCAAGGACAAGCTGGACCCCCTGGGCCTCCAGGGCCACCAGGACCCAGAGGTCCCCCAGGAGATACTGGCAAGGATGGTCCTCGTGGGATGCCTGGCTTAACGGTGAGTTACTCTGTTGCTGCTTTGATGTGAACTTTTCTCTCAGCCAGCATAGTGTCAAAGACATTTTCTGAGATAAGACTGGCAGGTAAGAGATGCAGAAGCTGAACCAGGGGCAGGTTTCAAGGTGTACCTGCAGTTCCACACACACAGAACAAGTGTTTAGCAGGGCCAGAAGTAACACCAAGGTTCCTTTCCTCCCACCCCTGGCAGTTTCCCCACACTTTCTAAGGTTTTTCAGTCACTCACTGATGTTTAATAGCTGTGTGAGGAGAGTCTGCCCCTTTCCACGAGTAATAAATGTTTCTGTTCAAACTTCAAGATAAAACTGAATTTGAGGCCTCGTAACATGGATGTGCTTGATTTCTCACTTCTTAATGGTTTAACCTCAAAAGTCTTGGAATAAAGTGATAAACTGCTAGAGCTACCCAAGGCATGATGAAGTTTGGAGTTACATTCTGTCATCTTTAAACAAGAAGAGCAGTACCATTTTCTTTGGCTCAGCCCCCATACTTCATTAGGACAAGCAGCAGAATCCAGTATATTGTGTGTTGTTTATTTTAGGCTAGGCACAGGATGAATCCCACACTTTTTAAACAGATGCTTAAACACATCACTTTTTTAAAAAGTCTGTGTTTTATTTTAGTTTTATATTTTGTGGCCTCCGTAATTTTTCTTCCTTTGAGACAAGTATCTCCCTTTTTACCATGCATGCCACTGTTACGATAACTGTGTTATCAGTGTGGAAATGGAATCACAGACAGGAGAGGGTCATGGAAAATGAAATGGCACATGTACAGATGCACACACACGTTCACATCCATGGAAAGTGAAGATTGTGGCCAAGAAGGCACATGGGGAACCAGCAAGGTGAGGACCAGCGCTGAAAACAGAAACTGGTTTCTTGAAGAAAAAGCATCTCTTGTTACATGAAGCCAGGATGGCATAAATTTTTCCTGCAGGTCCTTTTTAGCTAAAACGGAGAAGGAAAATATCCACACTCCTCTTCTAACCCTTGTCAGGTATTAACTGTCTAAATGTAATATATATAGCATGATAATAGTAAGATGCTCCAAAAATTTCCTGTGAAAATCCAGCAAATCTGGCCTGTTGAGGCCTCTAGGACTCTAGAGCTGCTGCTGCTGCTACTGCTGTTGGTTTTTTTTACCACTCCTGCCCTCATAAGTTCTAGCTCAAGGTTATGAAATGACATGAAAAGTTTGTCACTCTCATGATGCTTTACTTTGGCAAACTTCTCATTTCTCTGTGGCACATCAGGCTCTGGGCCTCTTCTGGGTCTCCCTTGTGTTCTTTTACTGTGGTTAAATGAGCTGTGGTCAGCAGAGTTGGTGCTGGATTGATCTAGTAAGGGCAAGACTGAAACCAGAATCCATTTCTGGCTGCAGTGACAGTGTTCTAATAATTCACATACGTGGGGCTGGCAGAATCAGCTGGCTTTGCTGATTACAGCGTGGCTGTGTGTTGCTTTGTGCTTTTTAGCAAAGGGATCATTAGTGTTTCTCACAACAGAAAAGTCATGTATTTTATGCAATGAGGTCATTCAATTTTGTAATAATTCTACAGTGATTTGACTTTAGATGGCAAGGAAGAGTTTCTTTTTATAGTTTTTAAGCTGTGGCTATATTAAGCCCTATAACATTATGGAAAATCTGTTCATAATACTATTTTAGAGTCAGACACAAACAAGCTCTCAGGTAGAAACCATCCAGTTTTCTGCCCCTTGCTACTGATCTGTACCCTCAGGTTAATGTTCCTGATCCTCAGGCGGCTTGTTCCTCCATGGCTGTGTGATACACAGTCAAACAGGAGAGCAGGGAAAACTTAACTGGGAGGGAAGGACAGCTTTGTTTGTGAGATAAAGACTTGTGCAGACTGAAAGCAGCAGCTGCTCTGTGCTGTGAGCTGGGTGTTGCAGCATCTCGCAGCTATAGGATGTCCTTAGAGTGACCAGTGACCATTGGGCAGACACTGCCTCTTCTGCAGGGTTAGATAAAGCAGGGCTTCTCTTCCAGCCTGTCCTTCTCAAGCAAGAAGGTTTACAATCACCACAGCTGTAAAACAGTGTTTTGGGGCAGTGACTGGCCAGAACCCTGTGCCTCCATGGCTTCTTTCTCCCAGCTGTCCTTGGTGTGTTTGCAGATGCTGCATGTTTGCTTCTGAGTGCAATGCACACATACCCAGAGAAGCAGCTCTGATTCTTTCCAGTTGCCAGGAACAACGACATCAGAACAGTTCTCATGAATTTTATGACAGGCTTTCTTTTATGGCAAAGCTGCTAAAGGGGACCCTGCAGCTGTGCTGATACAGTAGTGCATGGACTGCCCCGTGCTCAGTTGGGTTTTCAAGGGAGTGATGCATAAACCAGACCACTAAAATGATAGGTGCTCTGGCTTTTTGGATGGGTATTTTTAGCCCTTATTGTATGACTGATACATTTTACTGTCTCTACAGACAGATGTATGAGTTCATATGGGAAAAAAGGGGAGAAGATAGATTCTGACTTTATATGTAGAGTTGTGCCCACAGAAAGAGAATATATTGGAGAAATGATGGGTTACCATTTTGAAAGCCAGCCCAGGTATTTAGCAGCTGAGTAATTATTTCATGGCTTCAAAATACCAATATTCATGGTTTTATGGAACATGGTAATTGACAACAGTAAGTTATGCCAGCTGACTGAGGTGATGACAGAGACCAGTATCCTTGGAATATGTAAACTGTGGGATACAGCACATATGTGAAAATAACCTTTTCTCTGTGTCCTTTAGCACAGTGGAATGGAATATTATATTTGGAACCAAGGGACAGAGTCAGAACACCAATACTTAACTCTTGCATTGAGAACTATACCATTACATGATTGGGAAGTAGTACTTCTTAAGATGTCTGTGATTTGGACTACCAGGTTAAAAAGCAAAAAAGTGATATGTTTAATGTGCAGTTAGCTGCCATGGCTGTTTAAGAACTAAATTTTTAAGATACTTTATTATTAGATAGAAATCTGGATTCAAGATACGTTGCTGAAATTATTAATTCCTTTTTTTATTCAAAGGGTGAGCCAGGAAAACCAGGAGAACAAGGATTGACAGTAAGTATTCTTCCGGTTTTCTAAGAGAGGCTAACATGACATATATCTTTTAAAATGGGAAATTCCAAAAAGCATTATGGGTGTGTATTTCCTGACCTTCCCTTTGTCACAGGCTATTTGAGGCCTGTGAAGAAAACACAAGAAAGAAAATATCTTCTGTTTAAATACAGTCACATAAGGCAAACTTCTTTCAGCTTGGAGAAGCAGAAGGAAATAAGATAGCTAAGGGCACAGTAAAACAAAAAAGAAGCAAGCCAGGGGTTCCCAGTTCCTGGCACCCTCTTAACACTGTCCCCGAAGCTGAGCTATTTCTACCTTGAAACCACTGGGCAGCACTGGAACCATCTACATGTTTTATGGGCCAAAATTCAAGATGTCTCTATGGCAAGGGCTCTGGACCTTTGCCTGGCAGAACAGTGAAGAGACAGTGCTGAAACTCTCAGAAAGTTCTTCTGTTCTGAGGTTCCAGTTTTTTTCTACTGTGTGTGTTAGATACTTCCGATTCATTTGGAATTAAATTGAAGCTCCACTGGTTGTAAATCAGCTTTAGCCACAGATTAAGGCATCATAAGTTTCTGCCTGTCACATATTCCCAGAACGGTGCAACATGCAGTGCTTTTTCTCCCTTAAGATCTCTCTAAACATGGTCATTTTTATTTTTATGAGAGATGACAAATTTTAGCACAGGGCATGTGGTTTTGATTCCTGAGTGCTTCTGAGGAGGAAGATTATCAGTAATAATCAGACCAACAATCAGTGCAGATATGATTGCTGTCTGAATTTGTGAAGATTTAAACAGGTGCCATGATATTTTACCTTGACAAATTGCAAAATATTTCCAATTGACAAAATCCAGTATCTTTTGAAAGAAAAAAATGTAGATTCTGAACTTGGAAGTATTTGCTGTGATCAAGTGGTTAAAGTCCTGTACTTTTTCATTTTGCAGTAAAGGTTTATCAGTTTTAAAATCAAAGCCTCACAAAGGTACTACCTCATTTTTTAGCATGCTTCTGGATGGTTTTTTGCTCTGTTCTTTTGGTTTCTGAGTGCCTGTGAACAATAGATGGAATAGCTAGAAAGGGAGCTTTTTTGTTTTGTTTTTTTGCATTTGGAATATTTTCCAATTTGATCTCTGGACAGAAACTCACTCAGGTTCTGCAAAAGTCTCTTTCTGTTCAAGACCAGATCTGCAGAGTCACAGGATCCTTGAGGGTTTTTAATCCATCACATTTTAGTCCCCATATTCAGAGCATTCCCACTGCTCTAATGTAACAATCTGTGTGTAAGGACTAAAAATCTGCTACTACTCTGTTTCTCTAAATGCAAATGTGTTTATATAGGAGGAAAAGGTGTTTGAAAACCAAATCATCAAACTTGAGTTGGAGAAAGATCCCAGATTACATGAATTTCCAACCTCAAATGTCTGTTTGAAAGGTCAGTCTGATGGCTTAAATGTTAGGTTATGTAGAGATCAAGTAAACAGCATCAGAGTATCAGGGAGGTAATTAGTTCCTTTTTATTCTTGGTGCTTCTGACGTACTCTTTATGCCAGTACAGATTTGCAGACTTCTCTTCCCTGTGGAAAATGTTACAATTATTCAGGGACTGCTTAGCTGTTTCTGACAATTTCCATCATGCTTTTATTTCATGAATTTCCTTATTGGAAATCCAGATACTCCAGGAATAGCTGATTTCCCAACATGTATGTTATAAGATCACATTGCTAAAAAATATAGTATATTATGTGGTGAGGAGCACAGGCTTTTTCCTGCTTCAGTTTCTTTTTGTGCGTTTTTCACCTCTTATCTTTTCAAAGTAAAGGAAAATGGAGATATCTGCCCAGAGGAGCTTCTAGGTTATTTCTGCAGGAATTCTTTTGTAAGGACTTATCTTTTTTTTCACACCAAGGGTCTCCAGTCTGAGTTAGCTTCCTGTTTTTCTTCTCACTGAAATTGAAACTCAGAATTCAGTGAGTTCCATAAAGTACTACCAGTCCTGGTCTCCCAAAAGTCCATATGATGGAGTGGGCTGTGGTTTCCTACTTGCCCACCTGTCCAAGGCCCTTTCCAGTAAGAAGCAAATACTGTGGCATATATTCTGATTCTTCCTCTGAGAGGAAGGATGGAGTCAGGATGCAGCCAAGAAGACCACTAAATACTGGGAGAGGATCCATACAGTTTGGGTGACATACTGAAGGTTGTGGAAGATGAAGGCTGTTTATGGCCTATAGGGTCACACTCTCTCAGGCTTTAAATCCCATGGTGCTGTTCAAGTTAAGGGTAGCAGAAAGCCTGACCTCTGGATTATAATAATGGGGACAGAACATTTTTCTCTTTCAAAAGCATTTTTTTGCACCTGTATTTGGTAGCATGCCTTGGTATTTCTAGATGAATGTACACGTTACTGACAGAGCTGTCAATTTCAGTAAGAACCTGTGAACCAACAATGGCATAGCTTGAAATTACTTAGTTTTCTATTTTCTCACAAAAGAAGGGGAATAAATTTCTTGAAGAGTACAAGATGTGGCAACAGAAATAGCTAACAGTGTTTTCCAGCTTGCTTCTTGGGATGTTCCAGGAGCCTGTGACACAGGCTGAGTAATGTGTGACCTGCTGTGTGAATCGATACATACAGGTACCCAGGGCAGCCACGAAACCTCAGCTGAAATGCAGGGAGTAGATTTATTTCATCACCTCACTAACAGCACTGGGCAGCTGAGACACACAGAGACACAGCTCCACTAGGCTCAGTTTATCCTAGTGAGAGGAGACAGGCAGGGATACAGGCTCAGTTCATCCTAGAGCACAGCAGGGGTGGGGTGGGGCTGGTACTGACCCAAAATATCAAAGGTTTCCTTGCAGGAGCAGTTCAGCACAAGGCTGTGCTTCCATGATCATTCCTTTTCCCAGCAGAAGGCTCAAGCACGTCTGTGACAGTGTGTTATCTCCACACAGGAATTCTGCTTCTCAAAACAGGCAGAGGATGAACAACAGTAGATATAATAACTGCAGTTTCCCCACACCAAAATGCTTAGTTTTTCCCAGCTGCAAGGTCACTTTGGGTGAAATTATTTCCTCCTTAACACATCTTCTGGGTTTAACCCTTTCCTCCCAACACCTGCAACAATGTGTACCTTGATTTACAGGAAGTTAAAATTAGTTTAATGCATTTGGAATTCTGGGAACGTTCATGTTCTCATTTCAATGAAACAGGAAATCCAGTGACTGTAGTGAAAAGATGGCAATTTGCTGCAACTGAGAATCTGCTGCCACGTTTTGCTTCATATTTAATGAAATCCTGTGTTAGTAAATAAAAAAGAAATTAATGTTTCAGGGTGATGTTGTGAGAGAGGGCAGTAATAACTTTCCTTCCTCTCAGGCAGATGAGTTTTGTTTGGACCATATATAGAGAATGACAGTGTTTGAGTCCTCTCAAAGTGTCATGAGTGGCATGAGTTCTGCTTTGGCTCAAGAGAATTCATCTTCAAGACAAGGAATGGCATTTCTTTTTCCCTATTCCCATTGTAAAAAAATGTGTGGGTTGGTGGTGGTGTCCCGTGGTGGTGGGACAATTTAGGATGTTAGAGAATCAGTTGTTTCTTACAGGAGTGTCTCATTCTCTGTTAAAAATCATTCCAGGTTGTCTAAGTGCCACCATGCTTCTTTTGCTCATCTGTCCATGTGGTTGAGATGTTTGGGAGAACTCTTTGCAAGGGTTTTTTGGCTCTGTATGTCACTATGTCAGGAAGAATATGTTTGCTCTTTGCAGTAAGAAATTTCAGTTTCTTTTTAGGTGAGATGCAGGTTTAAGTTATAAAGATGTGACTGCATGTGTCTTCAGTGTTAGAAGAGAATGAAAGAATGACTAGTGGTTGAAATTTGTGTTTGGTTTCCATGACATTTGAAAGACCTGCAGATGCACTTTTTTCAAGAGTTGAAGGTATCATTCTTCTGTGCAGAAGGGATTAAGAGAATTCAGGGGAGGCCAAGCAGTGAGATGACCAAAGGTGTTGTAGTTGCAACACAAAGGGATTAAGTTTTGAAATATTATGTGGAACTAGAAAAATGTACACTACTCAAGACAGAAGGCCAGTAGTTTCTGTAGCTTTTCAACCTTTTTGGTTAAAGTTGTGGCCGGCCTCTCATAATTCATGCTGCTTCCCCTGCCATTTGTCTGCAATTCTCGGTGATAAGGACTCTTAAATACCATACAAGAGTTTTTCCAGTTTATTTTCTCATTTTCAGAGTGAATAATAGATGGATTTGTGATTCTTTTCTACCCAAGAGTTAGGATTTCTGGTTGCAGACTATTCATGAGAACTTAGAGTCAGTGATGGAAAACATTAAAGGCTGACACTGGCAGATGAACATGTTCAGATTCATAAACTGCAGTGGGATAGAAGGTGTGCATGAGATGGTTTTGTTCCTAATTTCCATGTGGGAGAATTTTTTGTGCTTTTATGGGTAAATTATTTTAAACTAGTTCATATTAATAAAAATCTGGAATATTAAAATATGCTATGTCTGCAGCTCCTTTTTTCAGAAGTAAATTTAAACATGTTCAGTGTACAACCATTTCTTGTCAGTGAAAGAAAACCTCAGTGTATTATTTTCCTCCCCAAAATGGGCCTTAAGGACAGATAAGTGATTTTGCATATGTTTTACATGAACAGAACACTCCAGAATAACCAGAGAACTCAGGTAAAGGTGTCTCTTTGCAAAAGAAATCTATGCTGTGATGACTAACCCAAATGCAAAATCCCTCTGCTTTAAGATACAGTGTTTTCCAAACTAATACTTTTCTGCTTATACAGACTTGCTGGGCATCTGTTCAAGAAAGTAAAACATAATGTTACTGCCTTCACTGGTTATTCAGAAAAAGGGGGATGTTCTTCCAAAGGATATAGCCATATTTGTGTAAGACACTGGAAAAGTGTAACCTTGCAGTTAAGTCTGCAGAATGTCACATCTTTAAAATGAATTAATACTATTTTCATCTTA